AAAGAAAGAAAAAGAAAAGACATAATATCACATTTGTGGGAGAAGTTGGAGAAGTAAAAGTCTAAAAGTCTGAAAAGGGGAGTTGAGGGATCAGAGACCAATTCTGATTTGGGCAGAGGAGTCCAAGCTTGCAGCGAAATCTGGATATTAGGCTAGGCACATCATGGCTGGAGTAGACATCTACAGAAGGTTGATGGGTCTTTGTGACTGATGTCTCTGTGAGTTTCTGCGAAGAGTCTGTTAGCTGGCCTGTGGCCACAATTACTTGTTAGAATAAAGAGCAGGGAAGAATAAAACAGGAACACTCCTGCATCTCTTCTTATTGGTTAGAAACGGCATTTGTCTCTTGCCACCTCTAATCAATGATGACTGTCAGAATGTAATGAAAGTCATCATTGGTTAGAGATGGTGAGAGACAAATGAAGCTGCTGCTTCAGTATTGCCTCCTAAGTCTCAGGCAACTTCAATTTTGTACATCTGGAAGCATATATAAAAGGGGAATTGGGGAAACATAGTTTCCAGCATAACCATGTTGCCTATAGAACAATCCAGTAGAATGACCATACCTTAGCTGCAGAGCATGAGATTTGTTTCTCTAGTAGCTGTCAAAGGGGCCAGATGAGGACTCATCCTGGAAGCTGGAGGAAATGGCATGTAGCTTGTAGGTGAATTTCTTCTTCGATCTTTTCTTTGAATAAGAAAGATCTTGGGCACAGTTTTCTATAGAGCCTGCCCACAGACACTTTGCATGGCTAAGCAACTGGCTGTCTTTTGAGGTTCATGAAGCATGGGCCGGATTGGTAACATATCACCATGTATTTGCTTCCCATTCTTCCCTATCTAATTTCTTGTATTCCTCAGTTGTTGCCCTGGCTTTGCATCTTTCAAGGAAGCATTAGCACTTCAGCCTTCTTTAGAAACCCCAGCTAAAATAGTACTCATCTAAGAAAATACAATGAAAATGAAGTGGAACTTGGATAAACTGATGGTGGGAACCATGATTCCTATGAGGCTCAGTTCATTTGTATGTGATGGAATTATGGGGAATTGTAGCATCAATAGCCTTTTAAGAACATCATTATCTTTCTTCACTGGAAAAGTCCATAAACAAGTATTTTCTAAGACAAAGGGATGGATTAGGGGAGCAGAGATCCTTTTAGTCAACATATGATTTATGACTTTAACTCTCAGCAAGAATATATGCTTAATGAAAACATCGCTCTCTGGCACTTTTCTGAGCAATAATCCTGCTGTAGCTCAAAAAGCAGTGAAAAGACTGTTATTCATATTTACATATCTATGCCAGTCTGAGTTTTCAAAATACAATGAGGCACAAATAGGGTGGAGAAACTGCCTTGATCTGTAGCTCCGTAGAGCCCACTGTGTTTAATTCACCCATTTCCCCAGATGGATGGGTATAGAACCATTATCTCTTATTTGACCATTAATCAATGGAGGGGGGAGACTTTTTTCCCCCTGATGTTTAAAACCATTTTTTAAAAGTATTAAAACACACATAGATACTATGGAATAGAGTGAAAAGTGTGTGAGCATTCTTACACTAAAACGTGAGATTTAGGTTGTGGTAGTTTCCTCTCTTCCCCCACAGTCTATGGCTCTCTGCTATTAGGGGTTCAGAGAAAAAATTAGATTATTATTTCTTCTTCTTCTTCCACCACTACTACTACTTCTTCTTCTTCTTCTTCTTCTTCTTCTTCCTCTTCCTCTTTCTCTTCTTCTTCTTCTTTCTTCTCCTTCTCCTTCTTCTTTTTTTTTTAAGTCAAAGTCTCACTTTGTAGCCCAGGCTGCAGTGCAGTGGCACAATCTTGGCTCACTGCAACCTCCGCCTCCCAGTTTCAAGTGATTCTCGAGCCTCAGCTTCCTGGGAAGCTGGGATTTCAGGTGCCTGCCAGCACATCCTGCTAATTTTTGTATTTTTAGTAGAAATGAGGTTTCACCATGTTGGTCAGGTTGGTCTCGAACTCCTAACCTCAAGTGATCCGCCCGCCTCGGCCTCCCAAAGTGCTGAGATTACAGGTTTGAACCACCGCACCTGACCTAGAGAATTTCTTTAGGTAAAGATTCTGTGTGCATTGTGTAGTGTCTCATTTTGGTTCACACTTTTGTTTCTTTTTAAATATACGGGTTTAGCTTTTTTTCTTTTCAGGGAGAAAGCCATTTCAGTAGAGTTTCTGTTAATGGAACTCAGAAGGAGGAGTAGAAAGGTGGCTGCGATCAAGCAGAGGTCAGCATCCCAGCTGCTCCCTTGAGAATCCTGTCTTCACAGCAAAGGAATGAAGGAGTAGCTGCCATTGTCACAGGGTCCCGCATCTATTAGTTTGTGACCAGAGGACATGAGAACATTGCCAGTCTAGGTGGAAAAGGCTAATCCAAAGGTGAGATTGGAGATTCCAAAGAAATTGCATGTGGGAAGGAGTACATAATCGACTATGTTTCACAGCAAATTATTTTGTCAGCACAGGGAACAATGAAATGCCATCACACAGTTGCCTCATTAGCAAGAAATATCTTCAGTTTTTGAAGGCACCCCAGCATGTTCTATAATAGTTTCTGTTAGGTCCGGTCGATGTCCTCTGGACTCCCCACCACCTCCCACCCCCAGATGATGACACAAATGTCTTGAAATATTGACATGTCTTCAGTCACTCGTTACAGAATGTCTGTACAAATATTTAAATTACCCCGTCTCTCCCAGCAAAATTGCCTTTAGATTAATCCGCTCTCGGGACGCAGGCCGGGAGTGGCTTGGAGTATGGAAGCGTTTGAGGGTGTGTAAGGGTTGTAGTGAGGTGGGACTGATTGACTTTGCTGGGCTTTGCCAGGGGCTTGAAGGAACCGGCTCTTCCTTTCACAGAATCGAAGTATTTCTCTGGGCCCGGGAAGTTTTTGCTCCCAAGTGAGACAGGGACGAGAGCAGGCACGCACAGTCGCGTGTGTGTATAAAATGACGGCCTTAGAAGGGCGCCCAGGGACAGGGGCTTGGCAGCCCCGAGCGGAGGCCGTCAGGCAGCCGTTCCTTTCGGAATCGGTCTCCCGCAGTGCTCCCGGCTGCGGCGCTCCCGGGACCGAGCGCTGGAGCTGTTCGGGGACACCGCTGCCGAGCGCTGCCGGCCCACCTCCGTCGTACTGCGCGGGCGAGGGCTTCGCTACAGCGCGCAGGCCCGCGGATGGCAGACTGGGGTTGCCACGGCGGGTAATCTCGGGACACCAGGGGTTCCCATGGAGGCCGGGCCAGGGGAAAGCCCCGGCTGTGGGACCCCGCGTGATCGGGGCTCAGTGAGCCGTGTCCCCGGCCCGTCCGGCGGAGCAGGGAGAGACGCCTAGTAGGGTGGGTGCGCGTCGGAAGCCCGGGCCGCTGGCGGCTCTACTCCAGCCGGGCGGACAGGCGAGAGCCGGGGGCGGGGAGCCCAGAGCACCGCCCCGCTAGCGCGCCCCGCCCGTGGGAGAGGAGGGGCTGCGGCGCCGCGGACCACTGGAGGCGCAGCACGGTCGCCGCCGCCGCTGTCGGTGCTGGAGATCGCGGCTCGGCGCAGGCGGCGACCGTACCTCCTCTCCTCCGCCAGCCCGCGCGCCGGTCCGCCTGCCTGGGCCGCCTCCCGCCTCCCGCCGCAGCCGCGCAGCCGCCGCAGAACCCGCGGCGCCGCCGCTCGCGCTCCAGGTAGGTGTCCTAGCTGCAAAGGGGATGCCTGGGGCGGGCGCCACGGTGCCCGCATCGCGGCCCGGGGCATTGTGCGCCTCCGGCGGGCCGAGGACCCCGAGGGACGCGCGGGTGGGCACCCGCAGCTTCGGGCCACCAGGGCATCGCCGTCCCCCTGGAGGCGCCCCCAGCGGGATAGCCGGGCTACAGGGAAGTGGGGGGCGGCGGTGTCAGCCCATTCCCGCGGCCGGGATGGGAGGGGGCGTCTGTGTCGCGGTCCCTGTTTGCCGCCCTCCCTCCCCCTCGTTGCTGGGAATTCCCGCTGCCTGGCACTCGCGCCCGCAGTCTCGCGCGCGGGCCGGCGCCCCTAAGCCCTGCAGGCTGCCTGGGGATTGAAGCAGGGGCTGGGAGAAGGACTGATGTAATTGTCAGCGGAAAACCTAACCGGCGCGGGTGAGAGCGCCCGCGCCCGCGCCCGAGCGAGCTAACGCCTACGCGGCACCTTTCAGGGAATCCGGGAAGCGGAGAGGAACGGCTGGGGAAGTTGTGCATTGGGTTTTATTGTGCGCGTGCACTGCGGACTGCCCTCGCGGGGCATCCCTGCCCACCCGCTGCTGGCGCCCCTGCAGCCCTCCCTGCAGCCTTCGTCCACACTCCCGGCCAGGGCCGAGTCTGCCTTCCCTGGTTCAGACCCGGACAGGGTTTGCATTGCAGTCAAGACGTGCTTCCCCTGCGTCGAGCCGGGAGCTGCCCGCAGATCGTGTCGCCGGGGATGCTGGGGGAGGAGGGAATGGGAGACCTGGGGAGGAAGCCTGGAGAAGTAATGACACCAGCAGATTTTCTCCCCAAAGCTTCTGCTGCATATGACACGTCTGCAAGGCACCTTTTAAGCTGCCTTTGAAAGTTATAACCAGGTACTGATTTTGTGACAATTCTGTGATATACCTGAATGGTTGCTTAAACAGAGAGACCTAAAGCTGGGGGAAGCATTACATAATGGACAAAAAGCAAATGACACGAAACTAAGTGAACCCACTGGGTTGCCTGATTATTTCTCTCTTGTGGACACAAAATCCTGTAAGGTTTGTTTTCTATAGGAACTTTCATTTATAAATTGCTGGGCTAAGTTTAGCCAATTTTATATTATATTCAGTCGTGTTTTTTTATAAATAATAATTTTTCTTGGACATCTTAAATTTAAAAATTGCATGCTAATGGTTATATATCACTATGCTGATTAGGAAATAAAGTCTTCACAAAGTAAAAATAAGAAATTTCCCATCTGAATACCATTAACTTTGTTTTCCTCTTGTTTTGTTTTTGTTTCTTTTCCTTCTTTCATCCTTCCCCCGCCCCCCTCCCCCAGCTTTATGTTTTTTGGAAACATTTCTGTAGTTTTGGGTGCTGCGAGCTCACAATGTTGATATTTCTATCGCATGTTACAGCATTGCAGATACAAAGACTAATAATAAATGAAACAGAAGACCTCGCAGTAACTCTGAGAGTGAGCAGGGTTCCCAAGGTCGAAGGGAAGCTGCAGTGTAATTCAGCTATAATCAGCTACAGAGAATATGCATAACCCTCATTGGAAAAGGCCCTGATTGGTGGATTTTTTAATTATTATTCTTTTGCAGTTGAATTTAATGTATTTTTCCCTAAAAAGTAATTTTCTTAAGGTAAAAATGAAATATTTTGAAATTAAAATTTCAGGTTTTTAGAAAGCCGAAAAATCCTGGTTTTGCTCGTATTTTCAGATGTAATGTTGATAACTCCATTATACATTCAGTGGATGGATTATCTTTGGGGATACCTCAGTTTCAGATTACTATGACTTGTCAGATGAATCTTGGCTTTAATATGAGGTAGTTCTGCTGTACTTTTATAGGATAACATATGTAAGTTTTCTTATTCCTAGATTGCTCTAACCTTAAGTTAACTTTACTTCAAGAAGAAAAATAAAGCCCTTCCAAGATGAAATCTTTGTGGTTGGAGGTCTTAGTACCACCACAGATAGCGAATTAGGTAAACTGCATAAGGATATAAAAGTTTCTTGTGACTTTACTCATAAAACTGTTGGACTAGGGAGAAGATAATGTAGCTTTGAAAGATAAGGCATACGTTCTCAAAAGAAGAATTTTGTTGTTTTGCTGAAAAGGTTAGGTCATAATTATATTTTTTAAAAAGTTTTTTTTTTTAAACTTTAAAGTCATACTATCCATTGACTTCTGGAACTTTTTTTTCCTCACTCAATATGATATCTCTAGATTATTTCATACTGTATGTGGTTGTAGCTCACTGACTTTTATTGCAGTACAATATTCCACTATGTGTCTTATAACGCAGTATGCTGCTTCTCCTCTCAGTGATCATTATTATTTTTTGTTGTTGTTTTTGTTTTGTTTTTTTCATTTTTTGAAATATTGCAGTGTTGCTCTGATTATTCATGTTTTCTGGGCACACGTGCAAGTGTTTCTCTTGGGTTAATACCAAGGAATAAAATTGCTGGTTTGTAGGGTATGTGAATATTCAACTTATTAGGTATTGCCAAATTATATTCCAAAATGGTTGTACTAATTTATATAAGCCAGGGAAACAATTAAATACAAACACTAAATACAAACATGCACTTGCTGTTTTGAGTATGTGTCTGTTGAAATACACATTTTTTTTTAGAAAGCAAGAGAATGATTAATATAAAACAGGATGGCAGTTATCCTAAGGGGATGGCATGTGGGAAGGAACACATACATGGATGTTAGTTATTAGTAATGACCTAGTCCTTGGGTTTCATGGTGAGTTCATAGGTGATCATTGTACAGCAATTCCCCCCTTATCCAAGGGGAATATGTTCCAAATCCCCCAGTAGATACCTGAAACCTCCTATGGTACCCAACCCTATGTATATCCTTCTTTTCCATGTGTACATACCTTGATAAAATTTAATTTTTAAATTAGGTACAGTAAGAGATTAACATTTATAATAGAACAATTATTAACAGTATACTGTAATAAAAAGTTATGTGAATGTGTTTCTCTTTCAAATTATCTTATTGTACTGTATTCACCTATTCTCAGAACCTGATTGACCATGGGTAATTGAAACTTTGGATGGGGGGGCAGATAGTGTGTTAAAAAAAAAAAAAAAAGAGGATCATGCATGACCAGTGATAATATTTTAAGGTTCTAAGGAAAAAGAAAATAAGGACAATAGAGTTGTCACAAGACAACAGGCTTCCGTACTAAAAGATATCAACCTACAAGATATCGGTTGAAAGATGAAGAAACAGTCCCTGAGTATAGGCATGAATTGCCCAGAGTTCATGGAAGGTATTTGCAAAAAGGTTGAGCAGGAAGTGGTCATGCTGAGAGGAGGCAGTCTATTGTGGATTAGAAAATGATATGAACAGAAGTTGAGGGAGCCATGGGAAATTTTCCAACAGTGAAAAGCATTTACACAGTCAATTTAGGAAACTGATAGGTTGGGGCTATGGGGAGAGATCCAAGGCCCCTCATTAGCAGGGGCTGCTGATTGACATGAGAGTTCTCAAGTTTGGAAGAAACTAAAAGGAGTAGTTTAAAAACTAAATCTACTGTCCTAGAAAAGAGGAGGAGGAGAGTCAAAGGTGACTGTAATGAAAACAAATATGAATAATCTTGGTGTGTAGTATCAATTTTTTTGTGTGTTTTAAAAAAAATTTATTTATTTTACTTTAGGTGTATACTATATCTGGCATTTCTCCCCATGTTATCCCTCCCCACTCCACCCTCCCCTCCCTCCCTACCCTCGCATATCTCTCCCCTGTCCCCGCCAACTGCCCCCAGGGTGTGATGCTCCTCTCCCTGAGTCCACTTGTTCTCGTTCAACACCCACCTATGAGTGAGAACCAAATTTTTTTTTTTTTAAAAAAGAAAAGAAATAGTGGAGCTGCTGTGGGAACTTTTAGTGAGGTTTAAAGATCTCAAGTATGTGGTAATAGATATCGAAGCTCATGTTTGAAAACATGCACTATGATATCTGCTTTATATGTAGAGTTAAAAAAATTTATTTTGTATACCTAATAGGTCTATATGTTTATGGGGCATGTGAGATATTTCGAAACAGGCACACAATGTGTAATAGTCACATCAGGGTAAATGGGGTATCCATCATCTCCAGCATTTATCGTTTGTGTTACAAACAATCCAAATATACTCTTTGAGCTATTTTAAAATGTACAATTAAATTATTATTGACTATAGTCACCTGATGTGCTATCAAATACTAGATTTTTTTTCTTTTTGGAGATGGAGTCTTGCTCTGTCGCCCAGGCTGAAGTGCAATGGCATGATATCGGCTCACTGCAACCTCTGCCTCCCAGGTTTAAGCTATTCTCCTGCCTCAGCCTCCTACTGAGATTACAGGCAACTGCCACCATGCCCAGCTAACTTTTGTATTTTTCAGTAGAGATAGGGTTTCACCATGTTGGTCAGGCTGGTCTTGAACTCCTGACCTCAGGTGATCCACCTGCCCTGGCCTTCCAAAATGCTGGGATTACAGGCGTGAGCCATGGTGTCTGGCCCAA